CCACCGCTCCAGGGCTCCCCGCCCTGCTGCCCTGCACCCGGCTTTCGGCCGAGCCCAGCCGGTGCTGATGGCCGCCCCCTCCCCTCACCCACCTCTCCCCGCAGACCACCCTGTGCAACACGTCCTTGGACAACCCGACCCAGCGGAGCAAGGACCAGCTGATCCGAGCGGCCATCAAGTTTCTGGACACTGACACCATCTGGTAAGTGACGCCCTGGCGTGAGCAGGTCCCGGGGGCCCTGGTGGGTGGGGAGGGGCCCGCTGTTCTGCACACGCACGGCCTCTCTCCTCCTCTCCCTTGTGCGAGACCATGGCTTTCCACGGCGCCCACCTGGGTTGGCGGTCTGGGGACACCCCTGCAGCCCGGCTCCCCTTAGCACAGCTGGGTCTCCGTGTCTCTCGGTCAGCACGAGGGCCACAGCCTGGCCTTGAGGACCGTGTGTCCACACCGAGAGGGGGGCGGGCTCCTGAGAAGGCAACGGGCCATTCGTGTGCGTCTCTGGGAAGGCGGCAGCGACCGGGCCGGGGCTCAGCCTGCGTGCTGTGGCTCTCGCCCAGAGGGTCCGGTTCTGTAGATGGGTGGGGTGGGGTGTGTGGCCTGGAACATGCATTTCTCACGGGCTCCCAGGTGCTCCCGCTGCCGCTGGCCCCAGGACTGCCACTTTAGGGGAGAGCCTTGCAGGGCTGGGGGCGGGGCCAGGGCAGAGCAGCCTGTGCCCTCCCCCTTTGTGGTTTCCTTTGCGGTCACCGAATGAAAGAATTGTACTTTTCCATTAATGAAGGTGGTTTTTGCCATGAATTAGCTACAAGGTGGAAGAGCCCGAGACCTTGGTGGAGCTCCAAAAGAATGAATGGGATCCAGTTATAGAGTGGGCTGAGAACAGGTAAGAGGTGGCACAGACCGGCCGGCCCGGGCAGGCCGTGGAGGCATGGCTGGTACCACACCGCCAGCGCCCCGAGCGTTCGGAGCTCAGGGCGCCCTTGGGACCCGGCTCCCCTCGGGCGTTCTGAGACCGCGCGCCTTGCAGAACAGCGGTCCCTTGGGAGACACGTTCAGCGAGCCCGCAGCAGGCGCAGGGCCAGTCCGGTGCCCTCCGGGAGCGCCAGGATCCAGGCAGGATCCGCCTAGGTCCGGGGCAGGGCAGGGCAGCGGTGCCGGTCTGCGCGCCAGCTCCGCGACCGTGAGCGGGAGCCATGTGCCTCTGGGCCGCTGAGTCCGTCCAGCTTCAGTTCCCTCGTCTGCGAGTGGGGCCGGTGGTGTGGGGAGGACCCCAGGAGTGGGTGCGTTCAGTGCCGAGCCCACACTTAATGCGCAGATTTGGGGGACACTTTTCATTCTTCTCTTCATCGCCACGACTGCAGTGTCAGGCAGAGTGGTGGAACAGCGCGTAGGACACACGCGCATGGAGAGGGTTGGGCGCTGCTCATGCGTCACAGGTCACGTCCGTGCGTGCAGGGTTCAAGGAGTTGCTGATACCCAGCGTCTTCCTTAATGGGAAGAGCTTTTTTTTTTTTTTCTTTTAAAGATTTATTTATTTGAAAGGTGGAGTTAAGAGGCAGAGAGAGAGAGAGAGAGGTCTTCCATCTTCTGGTTCACTCTACAAATGGCCATGATGGCTAGAGCTGTGCCGATCTGAAGCCCGGAGCCAGGAGCTTCTTCTGGGTCTCCCATGTGGGTGCAGAGGCCCAAGCGCTTGGGCCATCTTCTACTGCTTTCCCAGGCCATAGCAGAGAGCTGGATCAGAGGTGGAGCAGCCGGGACTCGAACTGGTGCCCACATGGGATGCCAGCACTGCAAGCGGCAGCTTTACCCACTATGCCACGGCTCTGGCCACCCTAAAAGGCTTTTTTTTTTTTTTTTTTTTTTGACAGGCAGAGTGGATAGTGAGAGAGAGAGAGACAGAGAGAAAGGTCTTCCTTTGCCGTTGGTTCACCTTCCAACGGCCGCTGCGGCAGGTGCACTGCACTGATCCGAAGGCAGGAGCCAGGTGCTTCTCCTGGTCTCCCATGGGGTGCAGGGCCCAAGCACTTGGGCCATCCTCCACTGCACTCCCTGGCCACAGCAGAGAGCTGGCCTGGAAGAGGGGCAACCGGGACAGAATCTGGCACCCCGACCGGGACTAGAACCCGGTGTGCCGGCGCCGCCAGGTGGAGGATTAGCCTAGTGAGCCGCGGTGCCGGCCACCCTAAAAGGCTTTTAAAATATTTGAAAAACAAGTATCCCATGCTGTATTTAAAAAAAATTAATTTGATGTATTTTTAAAAATTATTTATTTGAAATGTAGCAAGACAAGATAAAAAGGGTCTCACTGCTGGTTCACTCCCCAAATGCCTGCAACAGCCAAGGCTGAGCCAGGCCAGAGTCAGGAGACAGAAACTCCACACAGGTCTCGGACAGGCTTTAAGCCTTCTCCTTGCAGGTACGGCGTGGAGATCGGCTCCTCCACCAGTATCATGGGACCCAGCATCCCCGCCAGGACTCACGAGGTGCTGGCCAACCACCTGGCGTCCTACAACATGTGGGCCCTCCAAGGTGTGCCCGGAGAACGCGTGCGCAGCTTCCTGTGGGCGGGTGACACACACTCGGCACCCCGAGTGAGGGGTGGGGCCCGGGCGGGGGGAATGTCTGGGAGCTGGCCGTCCTAGCAAGAAAGCGGGGCTTGGCTCTCCAGCCGATGTCTGCAGTTACAAGCCCTTTGGGAACCCGCTGCGGGGCTGTGGGGCGGGGCTGCTCTAGTTGGCCAGGCTGGGTGGAGGAGGACGCCAGGGAAGAGGGCGCGGACCCCAAGGGTGCAGCACACTCTCCCCCTCCCTTTCCCTGCTCGGGGGTGCAGGGGCTGCCTGAGGGCGTGGGCCTGACTCCGCTCGCGGCCCCGCAGGGATCGAGTTCGTGGTGACCCAGCTCAAGTCCATGGTGCTGACCTTGGGCCTGACCGACCTGCACCTGACGGTGGAGCAGGCCGTGCTGCTGTCGCGCCTGGAGGAGGAGTACCAGGTGAGGGGCCGCGGCCCGGCGGGGAGGGGCACCGCACGTTCACCTAACCCTGGCCTGTGTTGCCGTCGAGTAAGTCCAGCCACCAGAATAAGGCCCGTCAGAGGCACTGGCAGGCACAGGAAGTGCCCCCACCTCCTCTTGTGCACAGCCCGGCCAGCTGGGGGCTGTGCGGGTGCCCATTCTACACAGGGGGCCTCTGAGTCACAAGGCTGTCCCTCTGGGACCTGTGGGAGCGGGTTGGAGGGCTGCTGGCTGCCTGTGGGTGATCACCACGCCATCCAGGCCTGACTCAGCCCCTGCTTTGGCCAAGCCTGCCCACCCCGAGTCTCTTCCCGGCAGGGGCTGCTGCGTTCGCGGGCTCGGGGTTGCCGTCTTGCAGCCGTGCCTCCAACCTCGGCTGCCCTGAGGACTAGACAGAGAAATGCCTTCCTGTACCGTGTACCCCTCCCCGGGCCGCTCAGGAGAGCCTCGGGGACAGGCACTGCCTGCGCCTGGCGGAGCATGCTGGGTACTCTGGATGCCAGGACCCACCGCATAGGAATGGGGAGGGGAGTGGCTGGGGGAGCCAGCTCGTGTGGTGTGGCAGAGTCCAGGTCCCTGGGCGAGCGGGGGCAGCAGCCGGGCCCTGGCCGGGGATGAGCCCGCAGGCCAGTTTGGAGTCAGAGATGTTCAGACGGCCACGTCGTGTGTCCGAGGAGCGCTCAGTCACAGGCCACTCCACGCCGGGGTCCTGGGAGCAGGGGCTGCAGGCGGGCTGGGTGCCCTCCCAGGAGATCCATGGGTGGTGTGGGTGCCCAGCCGTGGGCAGCCACCGCCGGCCTGGGCCTACACGCAGTTCCTAGACCACACAGGGAGGGTCGCCTGCTCCAGCCATCCACAGGAGTGGGTGACGGGGGGTCCTCCCCCAGCGCCCCTCAGCCACGCCGGTCTCCCACGTGATGGACCCAGCCAGGCGCCCGTCAGCGGCTGCTCTCCTCCTCCTCAGATCCAGAAGTGGGGCAACGTGGAGTGGGCCCACGACTACGAGCTGCAGGAGCTGCGGGCCCGCACGGCCGCCGGCACCCTCTACATCCACCTCTGCTCCCAGAGCTCCACGGTCAACCACAAACTCCTGCAGGAGTGAGGCCGGGCGTCCGGGGGCGGGGGGGCAGGACAGAGGCTGCACGGCCACAGCCCCCACCCCCCATCCCAGCCTGCACATCCTCCCCGAGTCACCCCAGGACTGCAGCCAACTCGGGGTGCCGCGGGCTGGCCAGCGGCGACGGAGGGGTGGGGCCGAGAGACCAGGCGAGAGACTTCCCCTCGACCCTAACTTTATTAAAATAGCCCTTTGCACTGGCAGTGTGTGGTGCCCCCAGGTCTCTGCTCCCGCCGCGGCTCGGGGTCCCGAGGTGGAGCAACGGGGGAGCTGCAGGCTGCACGTGTGTCCCTGCCTGTGGAAGGGCGCCCCCTCGGGCCAAGCTGCTCGCTTCTTACTGTTCTGGAGAGCGACCCCTCGCTCTGGAAACAGCCCAGCGGGCCGGCACAGTCGCCGGGCGTGGGTGTGTCCGCTCAGCCTCCCCACGGGAGCCCGGAAGCCTCCGTGGCCCCAGGAACAGGCAGTGGGGCGAGCCCAGGCTTCCTCCGGCTGAATGGCCTCCCAGCTGCTCATCCCTGCTTCCCACGCGCTGTCTCCCGGGACCCCAGGACACCCCTGGGGGGAAGGCACTGTCCCGTGTTGTAAAATAGGCCACTCTGCCCACCCCAGCTCAGAGAGCAGCATGGTCGGCGGCACCCGCTCCTGCAGGGGTGAACAGGAGCCACAGCGCCCAGCTGGGCGGCTTGGCCCCGGCACCCAACACTGGGGGCAGCTGCAGCGTCTCCTGCAGGCCTGGCTCCGCAGCACCCACGGGCCTCGGGCTCGGCCCCCCGACCTGCAGCCCGCACTGGCGGTGCCCGGGTCCCAGGGGCAGCCGACGCAGGCCCCAGCCTCTTCCTCCCGTTCATACACGAACGTGGACTCGGGTTTGAAAGCACAGGGGAAGGGCGGCTCGGCCGTTTATTTCTCTCCGTCTCTGGATGTTTTCCCACGAGCAGGGGAAAGACAGGTGCGAGGGGGCTGAGACCCCCTCCCCCCCAGCCCCGTGGCCGTCCTGGGACAGCCGGGGACGCATGCGCGCTGCCGCCGGCTGGGGCTGCCGCAGCCGCTAGTCCATGTCGGGGCTCTCCAGGCTCTCCAGCTCTCTCTGCGCGTGGTCGATGTATTGATTGATCTCCCGCACCCGCTTGCGGTTCCGCGTGATCTCATCCCTGTGAATCTGAGGAGTGAAACCGAACCCCAGCGCCCTCCGTCAGACCCCTGTTAGCCGCAGCCCTCGCAGCGGTGGGGGTGCGGTGGGGGTGGGAGGGGTCCAGCGCTGGCCCCGCGCGAGCTCACCTTGTCCACCAGCTGCGTGCACCAGGAGTTGATCCTGGTCACCAGCTCGTCCTCTCGGTTGTCAATCTTCAGCAGGTGAATGTCGTGCGAGGCCCCGACGGCGTTAACGATCGTGTCCTTGTCCACGAACAGCTGGGGGGGGCGGAGGGGGGGTCAGCACGCTGCTCCGAGCCCACCGAAGGGTCCCCCACCCCCGCCCCGGGTGCACACGTGCCAGCCCTGCCTTGGCTGCCCTGGGCACCAGCAGGTGGTACCCCGCACCCTCCCTGGCTACCAGGGCAACCTCGCTGAGCACGCCTGTTCCCACAATGCTCCCCTCCCTCGGGCACCGACAAGGCTCACCTGCCCCAAACCTGTCAGCCAGGTGGAGACCGCTGGTGGCCGGCGGAGGACAGCGGGAGCCCAAAGCCGCGGGTGCTTGCCCGCAGTTGTCAGGCTACACTGCCTCTCACATCCACAGCAACACACTTGGGAGTCCAGGAGGGGTCTCCTCTTGCCTGCCCTTGCTCCTGACCTTGGTTTTGCCTTACGAAAAGCTGCCAAGGGGCTGGCATTTGGTGTCGCAGAGAAGACACTGCTAGGGACGCCTGCATCCCGGATCCTCCATGCCGGGCAGCGCTCCTGACCCCAGCTTCCTGCTGAGGCAGACCCTGGGAGGCAGCAGTGACGGCTCCAGTCGTCGGGTGCCCGCCACCCATGGGGTAGACCTGGACTGAGTTCCTCCCGGCCACCAGCCTCGGCCTGGCCTGGCCTGGGCTGTTGTTGGGGTATAAACCAGCAAATAGGAAATCTCCGTTTCCCTGCCCGGCAAGTCAATAAAAACTTAAGACACAGCACGTTATGCCTCTGCACCTCATGTCGGGGTGCTGGTGTCAGTCCCAGGAACCCAGATTCCATGCAGCTCCGTGCTGATGTGCCGAGGAAGGTAGTGGAGGTTGGCCCAAGTGCTTGGGCCCCTGCCACCCACGGGGGAGACCCAGAGGGCACTCTGGGCTTCATCTTGGCCCAGCTGCACCTTTTTTTTTAATTTATTTATTTGAAAGAGTTACACAGAGAGAGGAGAGGGAGAGAGAGGTCTTCCATTCACTGGTTCACCCTCCAAATGGCTGCAACAGCCAGAGCTGCACTGATTGGAAACCTGGAGCCAGGAGCTTCTTCCACGTCTCCCACATGGGTGCAGGGGCCCAAGGACTTGGGCCATCTTCTACTGCTTTCCCAGTCCATAGCAGAGAGCTGGATCAGAAGTGGAGCAACCGGGTCTCGAACCGGCACCCATATGGGATGCTGGCACTGCAGGTGGTGGCTTTACCTGCTACACCACAGCGCCAGCCCCTGAGATGTCACTCTTTCTGCAAAAAATACTCTGGCCAGACAGGTCAGATGCATTTGCGAAAACCGGCACAGCCCGGGCTGCTCCTGAAGATTCCCCAGGCCCAGGGGGTTCTGGGTCTCGGCAGAGTCTGGTGGGACAGAAACCGTTTTCACCTTGTCTGTCTCGTCTCCCTGACTGGTCTGGCCACGGCTCCTTCTCAGAGTGCATGCTAACTTCTGGGGTGCTGGTTTTCTGCACCATGCCACATCGGGGGGACCAGGGGTTGGGGGGCCAGGTCAGCTGCCGTGGGGCATGGGGCATCTGGACCCGGATAGCATAGTCGTGGAGAGAAATGAGAGGAAGTGACCAGGTTCCTTCTCTGTATGTCAGAAAGCCATGCCAGGTGGCAACAAGGGTTCAATGACAATCGGCCGGTGCCGTGGCTCACTTGGCTAATCCTCCGCCTGTGGCGCCGGCACCCCGGGTTCTAGTCCCGGTTGCCCCTCTTCCAGTCCAGCTCTCTGCTGTGGCCCAGGAAGGCAGTGGAGGATGGCCCAAGTGCTTGGGCCCTGCACCCGCATGGGAGATCAGGAGGAAGCACCTGGCTCCTGGCTTCGGATTGGCGCAGTGCGGCTGTAGTGGCCATTTAGGAGGTGAACCAACAGAAGGAAGACCTTTCTCTCTGTCTCTCACTGTCTATAACTCTCTCTGTGTTTGTCTCTCTCTCTCACTGTCTAACTCTGCCTGGCCAAAAAAAAAAAAAAAGACATACAATCTCAAGGCAGGCGTCTGGCGCAGCAGTTACGTCATCGCTTGGGATGCCCATGTTTCCATACTGGAGCGCCTGGTTCAAGTCCTGCCTACCCTGCCTTCCATCCAGCTCCCGGCTGCTGCCCGTGCGTCCTGGGAGGACAGAGGTGGCTCAGGGACCCGGGTCCCTGCCACCCACGTGGGAGACCCCGATCGAATCCTGGGCTCGCGGCTTTGGCCTGGCCCAGCCCCAGTCGTGGGTCTTCGCGGGGAGTGCTCCAGTATACTGATCATCCCACCATTTCCCTCTCTTGCTCTCTCTCTGTCTCTGCCTTTCACATGAAAATGAAAAAAGAACAAGTGTGCCATCTGCCCACCAAGAGCCTCAGGCAAGGGCTCAGAAGTGGGCGTCCTGGTTATTCTAGAAATAGCCGCCAGCGCGTCGATCCGTCCTCCCGGCTCCTCCTTCACCTGGGAAGTGGGTTGTCGTGGCTGCCCTCTGAAGCCAGGTGGAGCGATGGGTCTCCCCCGGAGCCCGAGCGCAGAGAGGGGCTCTGGAGAGGCCGTGCGCCCGGCCGGCAGCCTGCTTGGATACCATGGCCTGCGTGCCGTTTGTAAGGGGCCAACGAAGGCAGCCTGGACCAAGGCGGTTAGGTAGGAATGGGAGCTGTCAGTTCTGGTCTCCAGGTGACCTGGAGGGGGCGGCCACTTCTGTTCTCTCCTGGACTGTGCTGTGCTTGGGATCGGGCTGGCCTCTGCTGCTCATACCGGAATTATCTTTTTTTTTTTTTTAAACATCTATTTGAAAGGCAGAGTTACGGGGGCGGGGGATGGTTTTCCATCTGCTGGTTCATGTCCCAAATAGCTGCAATGGCCAGAGCTGGGCCAGTCCGAAGCCAGGAGCCAGGGTCACCCATGTGGGTGGTAGGGGCCTAAGCACTCGGGCCATCCTCTGCTCCTTTCCCAGGTGCATTAGCAGAGACCTGGACTGTAAATGGAGCAGCTGGGACTCGAACCGGCAGCCCCTATGGGATGCCAGGTCACAGGTGGAGGCTTAGCCCATTACACCATAGTGCCAGCCCCCTTTGTGGGCCAGCCCTTCCCCACCCTCGCAGACAGTCTGCGTTGTTAGGGAGGGCCTGGCTCCTCCCGCCAAAACCTGCTTTTTGTCCGACGCGAGGTAGAGCAGCAGCAGGCCCCGCCGGGGCTCTGAGCCTGTCCTGGTATCCTGTGCCCTGGGGAGCCCTGGACACGCCCCTCCTCTGCCCCACCCCCCGGTCTCCAGTATGCCCCGTACCCACAGCAGCCCAGGAGTAGTTCTTACGGAGAGACTGTTCCAGACTCCCCTGCAGCTGCTGCAGAGCTCCGGGGCGAGGCAGGGGCACTGCTGCGCCACCCCCCGTCTGTCTGGGTCTCACGGCTGTGCAGATACATGTCTTCCCAAGCCACTGCTCAGGGGCGCTTCTGAGAGCTGGTACCCCACCCCCACCCCGGAGAGCCCCTGTGGTGCCGGCAATCAATCAGGTCATCCTATCCATCTCCCACCCCAGGGCGCCCAGGACCCCACAAGTCCTCACCCCCACCCACAAAGGAGCCGCTCAGCCTGATGGGGAGGGACTTGTGCCAGGGGAGGGAGGCAGCCTCCTGGCCCGGCTGGGGCTCCTCAGGCCTGCAGGTCACTTGGGCCCTCCCTGGCCGCCAGCTCCAGGCGAGTCTAGCCCTAGGAACACAAATCCCTTCTTGAGAGATGGCCTCATCCATGGGACTCCACCGGGTGGCGCTCACATCACACGGTAAGAGGAGCTCAATTTTTGCACAGTGGACATTGTTGCAAAATCTTGGGGTCGGGCTGGAGCTGTGGCTAGTGGTTAAAGCCGCCCCCTGCAGTGTCCACATCCCATATGGGCGCCAGTTGAGTCCTGGCTGCTCCACTTCTGATCCAGCTCTCTGCTGTGGCCTGGGAAAGCAAGTGGAAGATGGCCAAGTGGCTTGGCCCCTGCACCTGCATGGGAGACCTGGAAGAAGCTCCTGGCTCCTGGCTTCAGTATCAGCGCAGCTCCAGCAGTTGTGGCCAATTGGGGAGTGAACCAGCGGATAGAAGACCTCTCTCTCTCTCTCTCTCTCTCTCTCTCTCTCTCTCTCTCTGCCCTCTCCTTCTCTAACTCTGACTTTCAAAACAAAACAAAAACAAAAAGTGCAGTTTTCACTTGAGGTCAAGTGGCCTGTGGGGCTCAAGTCCAGCGCCTGGACGCCTCCCCCCCAACTGGAGTCCACAGTGAGGTCCCCGTGTGGCTCTACAGTGACAACAGCCCAGGCTCTGCTTAAGTCACCCTAGAGCCTGGTCCTTGAAAGCTCTGGCACCTCGGCCAGTACGCCCGACCTCTGCCAGCCCCAGGTGACACCTGCTGTCCCTCATATGTAAACAAGGGTGATAGACAGGTTGGGTATGCCCATGCAAAAGTGCCCGGGGCCGGAAGTGCTTCCAGTTTTGAAGCTTTTTTTTGAGATTCTTGAATATATCATTTGCATAGACTTTACCAGTTTGAACATCCCAGTATGTGATGTGTGTGGTGTGGGGGGGGTGATTCGTAAATCCAAATGCTCCCAAAAGTGACAGTTTTCAAGGTGCCTACTGAAGCGCCTCTGTGGGTGCAGTGAGTGACACGGATCATGGGGCCCTCGGGGGGGGCTCTGCACTGCCGGCTGCCTCGGTCAGCAGGTGCCGCCCCAGGGTTCCCAGGCCTCACGAGCCGGCGGTAGATGGGGGGGGGCTGGCCACCGGAAGCACCAGCCCGGCCTGGTTCTCAGCCCTCGGCCTCCGGGACCCATGTTTCTGCCGGTGTTGCGGCCGTGGGAGCGAGCACCTGTCTGTCCTGTACCCACTGGGTGTCACAGAGCTGCGGCGGGGCGGGGCGGTCGGCATTGCTGTGTGGACGATTCCAGAGCGGGCTCTCTCTGGGGCAGCCTTGCCTCCCGGCTCCAGGAGGGTGGCACTCTCCTCTGCTGGCCCACAGCAGTCGGCTGGGGTTAACACTGTGGCGTAGCAGGCAAAGCCGCTGCCTGCAGTGCCAGTATAACCTGTGGGCGCTGGTCCAAGTCCCGGCTGCTCCACTTCTGATCCAGCTGCCTGCTAAGGCCTGGGAAAAGCATCAGCAGATGGCCCAAGTGCTGGGGCCCCTGCACCCACGTGGGAGACCTGGATGGAGTTCCAGGCTCCTGGCCCAGCCCTGGCCATCGCGACCACTTGGAGAGTGAACCAGTGGATAGACGATCTTACTCTCTGTGTAACTCTGACTTTCAAATCAAGAAATAAATCTTAAAAACACCGCCATCAACAACACACAGCACCATTCAGCTGTGGTTCGTGGCTGAGAGAGGCAAAGCCGGGGACAGAGAAGCCGTCCCCCATGCTGTCGGGCGTCTGTCCTGTCTGTCTGGGACCGTGGGACGGAGGCTGTGTCTGCAGGAATCAGCCGAGCCACGTGACGAGGTAGGGCGTGGTGCAGCACACCTGCACCATCTGGGGACGCCTCCCGGCTTCCATGCTGTGCCCCAGTGCCCTGCTGCCCGCACAGAGGAGACAGACAGAGGGAGACCCACCTAGCACCAGACATGGCCGAGGGATGGCAATGCATAGACAGGGACCCCGAGGGTGTCTCCCTCCAGGAGCGGACGCTGGAGCTGGGGTCTCAGGGGCACAGAGACCAGAGGAAGAGCACACCGGAGAGCTGGACTCTCAGCTGTCCGGGAGACGGGACTGGCTCAGGCCGGGGCACTGGGCACCGGGCATGAGAAGGGCGAGAGGCAGTTGCTGACGCAGGGCAGGCCCGGTCATCGGCGTGTGGTGGGCTGCAGGAAGAGCTTGATCTAGGAGCCACAGGAAGCCATTAGCAGGCAACAGTGTCACAGGCTGGAGGGCAGCCCGAGAGGGTTGTTCTGGGGCTGAACGCACAGGGTGGCGGTGGCCGGGCTCGGTGTGACCGGCGGGGGGGGAGAAGCTGAGAATGTGGAATGCCAGCAGCAGGCATGCCGGGACACCTTCCAGGCCCCGGGCCCTTCCCGTCAAAGCCTGGGCTTTGTCCCAAACACACACACAGGCCATGGCTGTGGCCGCGGCTGGGCCCGCCCGTGCACAGG